GAGAATAATCTATCATGGATTTCCTATAGTGAATTTGAAAATATTAAAGAGATAGGACAGGGAGGATTTGCAACAGTTTTTGAAGCTAGATGGCTTGATCGAAATTATGATCTGTATACAAATGTAGCACTTAAATCTCTTCAAAAGTCAAACCATTTTCATAAAGAAGTAATTGACCTTATTTTTCTTATTTAGAATGGCTTAAATCTTAAGACGCATATTAACATTTCTTTTTAATTTTATAGTTAAAGGCATATTGTGACATTAATTGCAAAAACCCTTTTTCACAACATGCCAAACATGAAATGGAAAGATAAACTAAATTTACTACATTGCATTGCGTATGATCTTCAAATAATACATTCACAAAAAATTATTCATCGAGACTTACATAGTGGTAATATCTTACAAGACACTTTGCATAGCGCATATATTGCAGATTTAGGACTTTCTATATCATCTGATATAGCACTAGAAACAAAATCTGTTGGAGTTTATGGAATTTTACCATATATGGCACCAGAAGTTTTAATAGAAGGAAGGTATACAACATCATCAGATATTTACATAATTATGTGGGAAATCTTATATGGTAAATCAATTGCTTACGGTCAAAAAATTGGACCAGGACTTCAAAATAAATATGTTATAATGACTTTCGGCCAGAAATACGCCACAATGTTATATGAATTTAATGAAACGATGCTGGGAAAGAGAACTAGAAAAACGGCCATCGCAGAAAAACTCTGCAAAATTTTTACAGAATGGCAAAATGATAAAATATTCTACTTGAGCTATCTAAATCTAAAAAAATCAAAAGTGATCATTTACAAGCATATCTAGAAACGGATTATAGAAGTAAACGTATTCTTTATGCTTCATCGCTTTATCAAGGTAAATAATTCATATTTTGAATATATCTTTATTTATAAAAGGTTACAATTTATTAATGCTATTCAATATATTTGAGTGTCGCTAAAAGAGAACCCGAAAATTTAAATATAAATCATATTTAAATTTTCGGGTTTTCTTTTAGCGACACTAATTTATAGACAGTGAGCTAAGTAAACGTAAACTAACGATTCCGATGGACTGGTTTGTTTAAAGTTAATTAAACCAAAATACCACAATAAGTTTTTTTATAATCTATTGGGATAGTTTATTTTACAAAATTTACAAAATATTGAAGTTATTTTTACTATGCATAAAACTGTGCTAAAATTTTTAATACAACTAAAATTTGAATCGAAAATTACGAAATTAATAAGTTGTTAATATCGGCCGACATCAGAAATTATTTCTATTATCTCGGGATTCATGAATCAGCTGTGGTAGCATTATAATATAAAAAGAAAATGCAAAATCAAGTTGGAAAAGAAGCGAAGTGATGCTGATATTCATATAAAAATTTTAAAACTGATTAACTTTATTTCATATATGAAATCACTTTTCTCAATAATCACTTGAACTAAGTTTACATTGAAGTCAGTTTGAAGACTCAATGCCTTAAGTGAATAATATATTTTTTTGTTATGCATAAAGTTGATCATTGTTGATGAAGTCTAAAAGATGTGAAACACTAATGAGCGGGTGTACCTCAGATGGTTTGTATCGGGTCAAGTTTTTTTTAGCAGACTTTCTAGTATATTTAGCATTCAAAAAATAAAGATTTTTAGAAACAGTGAAAAAATATATTTTGGTTTTTTATGAAAAGTGAAAATTTTATTTTTTAAAAATTGGAAATGTTTACTACTTTTCAAATAATTATATATTATAATATAATAAACAATAAATATAGTAAATATATATGTTAACCATGTTATGCTTAATAATAAAATTGAATCTATATTAGTAAAAATTAATAAAAATTATAGAAAATATCCATCATCTGTGATTTTTAATATATAACTAAAATCAAATCAGTTAAATTTCCAGAGAAATCTGATTAAATATCTCATACCAATACACATAGTACAGCAGAGAACATCCGAATATGGAAGCGATTTTTCATACTAAATTATCATTGTTGGACCAATCAAAATAGCATAACACGATTGATTGATCGACCAATCAAATTAATTATTTACAAAATTTTGAGATTCAAAAAGATTCAAGAAATATGTTATAAAGCAAAGTGTGAGCTTCTATTCTCTTAAACAATTTTTTTTACATTTCTTAGAAAGGATAAAGCAAATGACTCTTTCAAAAAAGTATTGTAAAATAATATAAAAGATTTGGTATCAATTGTGTAACAACTTTGTGCAACATCCACTGTTTCTGCTGTATACACATAGCAAAGTACGCGAATAAAGCTAGTATAACAGGAATCCATTGGCGTAAATCCATTGGTAATGATAGTTCTGTGATTTCATACAAAAAAGTCATACGATTTGCAATATAAGGAAAAATAATGAAATCTATGAAAGCAAAAATATCAAAAAATGAAGATAAAAATATTAAATCTACGATTATTATAAAACACATAGTAACTAAATAAATAAAGATTGATATACTATCGACAATAAAGCAAAGAATAGGAGTACTTAACAAAAGAATTAATAATAAGAATCTGGACTCAGAGAAAGTAAAATTAATTTTCCATCTAAATTTCTTATATTTGAATTGAATAACAAAATTCATAATAAAGAGAATACTTTGGAAAATATATACTACTAACAATATAACACCTAAAGTTGGACCTGAATTATTATAAAGTAAAACGCCTTCACAAATAGTAATCAGAATTGAAAAACGAAGTATCTCTGGAATTATTCCAAATAATTCAAACAAAATGAAACCAATCTTAAATACTCCTAAAAGCCAGTAGATGTCTCGAAGATCTGCAACATATTGTCTTGAAAGATTTAAAATCATTACTGCAACTGTTGTAATATCCGAAACTTCATATAAATCATCATTTTTTGCACGAATAGCTAAAGTTGAAATTGTTAAAGCTGATAAAATCCATAGAATAAAGGACAATGCACCCTTGTAAATTGAACTAAATGTTAGATTTAAACTAACTACCAGTTTAATGCAGTCAACAAATATAGATGATCCTTGCAAAATCCAGCAAACTAAAATTTTGTTCTTACTCCTAGCTTTAAGATAACGAAGTACAAAGAATATCTCAGCACACGCAATCAAACCATCTAATAACCAAAAAATATCACTCTTTACTGTTGTAATATTATCTTCAGCATCCTCAGCATCCTCAGCATAAACAACATGAAACATTAAAATTATATAAAAAATATACATGCCGTGCAAATGATTTAGTTTCCGGTTTGTAAAGAATGAATGAATTTTATAAACAAGTGTTGCCCAAAAAAACCTGAATACGAAAATAATCAACAGTATCCAGGCTTACAAAATTATTTGGAATTATATTAGAACATTATACAGGCTTAAAAATTATGTAAAGAAAGAATGAATTTATAAATCAGCGTTGCCGAGAGAAAACCTAAATCTCTAAAATAGTCAAGTATACAAAATTATTTGTAATTATATTAGTACAACTTTATCCAGACTTCAACAATCATAAAGGCTAGCATTCAGTTGTACGAAAAGTTTTATATTTAGATATATCGTTTTTATTTCGGATATAGTCTTGAGGTGCTGATCAGTGGATTGTACTTATTATGCAAGAAATCAAAACCAAATTAAAATAGAAAATCTAGAACAGATAATTAACGCTTAATACTATAAAATGAATTACTGTATTACTTTTAATTCTGTGTTGGGATAAACAATATATATAATTTACGCATTTAGTACACAATAGCCTTAATCGAATCATTAATATGTATGGTTTGTTTTCTAAAAGTATGTATTTAGCAAAAAAAACCCCCCGATAATTGGTCAAGGAATTGTTTGCGCATACTGTATCAGTTTCATGCAACAATATCGATATGTACATCAAATTTAAAACTATGCATTTTTGTCAAAAATTTGATGTTACACGAACTAATATACGCAAACAATTCCTTTGCTTAGGAAAAACAGTTTCACTATTCCTTTCCTAATATTATAAAATTACTTGGCATCATGTGCTGCCCGTCCGATACGAATCAAAAACGTAACCAACAAACATAATATTGTTAAATGATAATTACTTTAAAAATATTGCGTTTTTGATGTTTTTGATATTCAATTTCACTTCTAAATACGGTTAACAATTTTTGTTTCGAACGTGCGTACGTACGTACGTACTTATTTAAGATATCAGTCGATCGGGATGTCACGCAGATCAGGTGAATAAATTTTTTACTATGAAATTTGAGTGATCAACACTCATATAAAATTCTCAATTTTCATAGCAAATTACAACGGTAGACCATTTTCAATCGTCGTTTTCAGGGGTTTC